CATATGTCCCGCGGCTTGCCACAGCGTGGGCAGCCGTGCAGTGTTGCGTTCCACCAGTCACCCTGTTTGTTATTTTTGTCTGGCACACTTCTGTGGTTGTGTGTGCCCTCAGATGCTTTGCTTTTTTTTGTGTATTTGTTGGTACACACACGGCGTACATGTTGCAATGCAGTTGGTTGCTCCTCTTGCACTCGGTGCTGGCTGCTGCGTGTGGCTGCTGCTCCCCCGTTGTGTTGGTGGAGGAGGCGCGTGACGGCGACGGTGGAGAAGGAAGGCACCGACCGCTGCTGACGGTGACGGTCTTTGCTGCAGGCGATCCAAAGAGATGGCGTGACTGGCGTCACAATCAACCGAGATGGATGCGGACCGCACCACACCTTTCTTCCGTCTCATCATCCTTTCAGTCCACAGCAGCCACAGGCCACAAGCACCGCGCGGCATCTGCACGACTACCATCCGGACGGCTGCGAGCCAATCGGACTGTGCAATCGATGTGGACCCTTCTTCCCCGTGTCTGCGTACTGCCGCCGTGCTCCTTTATTCTTTATTTCGTCTTTGTGTATGCCATGCACTTATGATTTTGCTGTTTCTTGTGCTGTGCTGAACCATCTGTTACACTAGCGGCACCAATGGTCATGCTTGTTTTTGCCTGGGCCCCGCTAATTGGCACGGTGGCCGTGCTGTGGTGGGGATCGTCTGAGGCTGGATGCTTCTGTGTGCCACTGTGTTTGGTTACTGTTGTTGCTGCCTCTTATTCTTTTTTCTGAGCATGCAGTTAGAGATACTTTTGCTTGACCAGCACAACTATCGTTTCAAGGTATTGGTTATTGCTCGCGGCAGTATTAGGACAAGTAGTAGTGGTATAGCGATCTATCGGATTTGTGCTTTTGGATTCTCCATCTGTAGAAAGGGATTTGCTAGGCAGGAGTTATTGTCGACGGGGCGACTGCGACACACCACGACAGCCCTTTTGGTTCCTGTTTGGGTTGGTGGATGTGGTCTGCGGTGGGCGCGTGTCTGCGCAGCCGGCACCGTGTGCGGCGCAGGGCCATTGCGGCTGTGCGTGTGGCGCTGCTCGTTGTGTTGGCGCTGGTTGCGGCGGCGGCGTGGATGCCCGCGGTGCATGCGGTGGTGTTGCGACTGCGGGGCGGCACGGTGGACAGAGCCATCACGGTTGGCCGCGCCGTGGACACGGTGCTGATGGACGGCGTGTGCATCACGAACGGCGTGGCTGTGGTGTTCGACGTTGCTGCAATGATTCCCGGCACAGTGCGCATTGAACTGAGGAACTGCGTGTGCGACGGCGGTGCGCAGATATACGTGCGGGGCTACAGCGGCGAGCCGGCGACTGACCGGAGCCTGGAGGTGAGCGTGAGCGGGCTGTCCGGCGGCTACTGCTCGCTTGTGTTCGTGCACAACCTGCCGGCACACACGAACGTGACGGTCCGCGACTCGACGATTGTGACGCCTGGACCGATGCGCTACTCGCAGCTGAGCGGGCTGACGGACGCGGTGGCGGCGCCGCTTGTGCTGCACGCGACGTCGCTGTTGCAGACGCAGCTGCGTGTGAGCAACACTGTGCTGAGGTCGTTGCAGGCGGGCGGGTCGGCGGTGTACGTTGGCGGCGGTGTGGACCTGCTGTCGAGCGCGGTGGTGCTTGACGGCGTGTCGCTGGAGGCGTCGGGCGGTCCGACCGCTTCCGCGATGCATGTGTCGTCTTCGTCGTGTCTCAGTCTGCGTAGCCACTCGGTGTTCTCTGTGACGAACGTGTCTGTTTTGAGCAGCGGCGGAGGCTTTGTGCTTGGCGAGCGCCTCGCGGTGTTTGATTCGGTGCTGCGCTTTGTGGGTGTCGAGGGGTCTGCCGCGTCGTCGCTGGTGCGCTGCGACGGTGGGACGGTCGGTGTCGGCGGGTGGCTGGACCTGCACGACGTGTGGGCGGTGGGCGAGCTGTCGTCTGTGGCATCGCTGTCGGGGGTGACGCTGAGCGGCGGTGCCGTGTCGATTGCGCGCTGCGCTGTCACCGGCGGTACGCTTGCCTCCGGGCTGGCGATCACGAGCGGCGTCGTGTCGGTGCAGTGCAACCGTGCCGGCGGCCGGGTGCTGCGGAGCAGCGGCGACTACCGCATGGCCGGCCTGTCCTCCGTGAGCGTGGTGCCGTGCGACGGCTGCGCGGCGGCGCTGGCGTGCTTCGATGCGCTGATGGCGTCATTCTCCGACTGCGTGTGCAGCTGCCGTGCCGGCGGTGTGGGCGAGGCGTGCCTGCCGTTCGACGTGCCGGTTGCGAGGTCCGGTGGCGGTGGTGGTGGTGGTGCGGAGGGCTGCGTGAGAGGCGTGACGCTGACGGAGTCGGTGACGGTTGGCGGTGGGCGTGCGATGGCGTGCTTCGACTCGGTGTTGTTCAGTGGACCGATCACTGTGGCGGTGGACCTGCGCTCGATGGACTTGTTTGCTGACGCGCTGAATGTGACGCTGCGCCACTGCGTGCTTGCGGGCGGCGCGCAGCTGCGGATTGGCGGCCTCAGCGAGAGCACGGCGCGCCTGGTGCCCCACGCCCTCGTCAAAATGACGAACGTGACGTCGCTGGAGGGCACGATCGTGCTGCATGGCGCGATGCCGCTGCACTCGAGTGTGCTGCTGGCGAACGCAACGCTGCGTGCGACGGTTGGCGGGACGCGGTATGTGCCGACGACCCCTGGCTGTGCGGGATTTCGGCACGGCCCCGTGCTCGTCCTGGACGGCGTCCGGCTTCTGTCGACGCGGTTTGTCATGACGCGGTCTACGCTGGTGTGTGGCGGGGGTTCGTGCGCTGCGATACTCGTGGAGCGCGGCCTCGGCGTGAACCTGTCCAGCGTCTTCTACATGGACAACTGCGTTGTCAGGTCGCGGACGCATTTGATTTACGCTCTTGTGTCGGACCTGCGTGTGAGCGGCGGCTCCGTGTTCTCGGTACAGGACAGCTCGTGGAGTGCGCCGAGCATTAACATGTACGAAGGCGCGTGTGTGTTTGGGGACGTTGTGGTGGCTGGCGGCAGCGTGCTGCAGATTGTGTCCAGCACTTTCCGTCTCGGCTTTGCCATGCTCATGGCAAACACGCTGACCGTGACTGACGGCAGCTGGCTGGTGCACCGCAACAACGAGTTCCGCACCGCCTACGTTGTGTACGTGGTCAAGGAAAACGGCGTGGCGTTCCGCGATCAGAGTGTGTGGTCGATACTTGACAACAACTTCACGTACGGCTCGTACTCGTCAACCATCGCACACATGACAAGCAACTGGTCACCACCATCCGACTCGCGCCCGATCATCTACGGCGTGTGCAACGAGGCAATGGGCTCTCCTGTGACGGATTACCAAGACGACCTGAACATTGAAGCACCCGTGACGGTGTTGGACTGTGGCGCGTGCACCGTGGACGCCGTGTGCTTTGCTGCGAGGACGAGCAGCATCAGCGGCTGTGTGTGTGTGTGCGCAGCTGGTGGCCACGGTGACGCGTGTCTGCCGGCAGCGGTTCCGGACGGTCTTGGGCCGCTCCCGCTCCCCGATGCGAAGGACACGGAGGTCCGCTGCGTGCACGGTGGCAGCATCAGCTCCGTGGACTATCCTGATCCCGGTGTGCATGGTCTGTGCTTTGTTAACGTGACCTTCACCGCCGCGATCGTGCTGGACCTGTATAACTTTAACGCACCACAACAGACACTCAACATCACGCTGCTGCAGTGCGTTCTCATGGGCCTGTCGATCAGGGGGAGTGGTGCGAGAGTGCACGTGAACGTGACATCCTCGATGCTGGATTCCGGTGAGTTGGAGTTTGAGGGTGATTTTGGTGCGAGTTCCCAGATACTGGTGGCGGCCAGTACGCTTGTGACGGTGTCGGGACACGCCATTTCCTTTTTGCTTTTTATTGGTGCGAACTCGACGCTGCAGCTGCTTGACAACTACATCGAAGGGAATATTCACGCAGTCTATTTCAGCAATGCTGCTGTTGATGGTGGCGGGATCATTGTGAAGGGAAATACGCTGAGGGCAACGAGGGACGATGACGGTGTGGAATCATCCGTTTATGCTTATGCTATTGATGTGAGGAACGGCGGATACTTTGACGTGGAGACACACG